GTATCATGTATGGATAAATCACGATTAGATTATATGTTTCATTGGAAAAAACCAAATGAAAATCCAGTTATTACTTGTAAGAATTGTCGTGTAGATAAATTTCAGGTAAGTGGGAAAAAATATCCTTTTATGTCAGATCATTTTGGGGTAACATGTGATATATTTCTTTGATTTATACATCATAATTAGTACTGTTATTAACATAATGAAAAGGGTTTTTATTTTTGTTAATTTTTATTAATTTTTTTTATTTCATTGTATATATGTACAAGAAACAATTAGAGTCAATTTTCCTTCAATGTCTTCTTGGTTATTTTCCTAAAGAAATATCTCTTATTGATTTTATTTGTGTCTCAAAGAGAACATATCAAAGTGTTGTTAACTATAAATTAGAATATAGATGGTTTAATCAATTATCAGAAAAACAAAAACTTCTTTTTAGTGGGATAAAAGAGAAAGTTATTGATATATCAAAATTAAATGAAAATGATATTAAATATTCTACACTTATTTTAAATTGTGAAGATTCATCAAAGAAGATAAGAGAGCCTTTTGCTTCTCATGTATCTGAAATTTATATTACATCAATTTCACAAATTAATTTTAATGAGCTTCCATTACTTTCAAGAGTTAATATACTTCTTTCTTATTCAGTACCAAAAAATTTAAAAAAGGTATCATTACCTAAACACATATTATTTGTTATTCATGCTAAAAAATTTAAACCAATTTATGAACTTGTTAAATCAAATCCACAAACTACATTTATTGGTTATGTTTTTGAAATTTCAGAAAATGATATTACACTCATGAACGAATTATCAAATATTAAAATTTTGTTTCAGCATTGGGAATCATTATTTCCATGGCCTAGTCTTGATGTATCACGATTCATTTATACTGGAACTAAATTCTATTTAGAAGATAATATTCCTGAGTCTTTCATCAAATTTATTATTAAACGTGGGTTAATTGAAGCATTCATACGTAGAAAAGGAGGCTCTTCAAAAGTATTTCTTGATTTACAAAGATCAATATTAGAAGGTATAGACATAGATAATGTTGGATCCCCTTTAATGGTATATGTTCCAAAATCACTTGAAATAATTTCTTCAGAATCACTAATAAATATTGATATTCAAGGGATGAGATTATGCACTCATATGACTTCTTTAAATTTAACTCATTTAAAAACTACAAATTTTCCTACATCTATTCAAAGTTTAGAATTAAGGATGAATACTGACATTGAGGAGTTAAATCTTAGAGAGTTTAGACAACTTAAAGATGTGACTCTAGATAGTTATAAGAAATTAGTTATATTAAAATTACCACAATTAACATTAAATTCACTTAATTTAACAAATTGTCAAAGACTAAAGAGTATAGACGGTAATAAGATATATTCTGTATCAGTTTGCCAATGTCAACAACTAAAAGAATTTAAAGTTAGTTATTCTAAACTTTTTCTCAGTTCATTCTCTAAACCAATAAAATTCGTTATTTCTACTCAAGTACAGAATTTAATTCTAGAGAATGTAATTGAATTGTTTTCTCGTCAAGTTCCTTTCAAATTACAAAAGCTTGAATTAAAGTCAGAACCAAGTGAAGAACTAATTTGTTCATTAATGAAATTAGAAGTTAATACTTTAGTTTTATCAAATTATCATTATGGACTAGAACAATTAAAAGTTAATCAAGTTATATCTGTTTCAGATGGTGTTGATAATTTTAATTTCAAATATCCATCTGAAGTAATTATTTCACCTCATCATTCTATAGAATTAGAAACTATCTCTATTGGAAAAGAATCAGCTGTTCAACTACTTGTAATAAACAAAACCATAATAGAAGAACTGATTCTAAATGATTCTCATGTACGTTGTTTACGTCTTGAATCAAGTACTATTGTTCATTTTATTCAACCACCAATGCTTGAAAAAATAGTTAAGTTAAATTCAACAATTGTTAATGGAGGAAGTCTTGAAGGGATTGTTCAAGAAATTTGTGAAGACAACGACCAAAAGAAAGAAGAGTCAAGTGATTCATCTAGTTTTTATTTTAGGTTTTTTATAACAAAAATAGTAAACAACGGCGAAGTGAACTT